TTTTGCTTTTTTGCCATAACGCCCATTATGGGACGAGTTGGAAAAGGAATTCCTAATTCTTACACGGATAATGAAATTCAAAAAAGAAAAGAAAATAGGAAATCAGTGTGAAAAATGAGAATTCTGACACCAATCATTTACGAGTGAGGATGACACCAACGGAAAAAGGGAAAAATGCACATAACAACATTTTAGGCCAAGCAAAAACCTTAAGATTCAGTAGTGGGGAAACCCGATCCATATCCTAATATGCTCTATTCTTCCTTTTGTAGCCCCGGTACATCTCATTGTCTGGTATTCCGTATGTCTCCTTGTCTCTTGGAAAAGCTTCCAATCATATCCCCTCCACATCATATAGGTCATCTCCGCAATTAGGAATACCCTTGGGCCAAGAACCGATATTCTCTAATCCTCATAAAAGAAAAGAAGTCGAGTTTGTTCACAAGGTTGGGTCGTGATATATAGTTTGTGTGCCGGTAAAGAAAGCACTTGGCTTTTTAGAGCCCTATCACGTAAGGGAGAAGAGGGAGAAGACAGACTTCATGTGTGAAGCATACAGGGAACTTCTCTCCTCTCTTACTCGAGCCTCTATAGTATAGTCAATAAAGCAATGCGGGTCAAGCTGTCCAACTCTTGTTTGCAGACCTTTACACCGATAAAAGCTTATCTCTCAACCTGTTCCGGATGTGCCTCCGCGCTGAAAGGGGCACTCATTCCCGGGTCACTGAAAGTGAGCTAAGCAGCAAGAATGTCATTGACAAACCTAAGCTGCGTAGCAGAAATGCTAGTCCCGAAAAGGGTAGCTGACTCAACTAACTGCTAGTCTGACCTAGTCCCGGTGGTCGAGCTCGAACCTTCGCTTGCCCTTGTTGGGACTTAGTGAAGAGTTAGCCTAGAAAGGCTTTTAAAGCAAGTCAAGCATGGAAATCCCAGCGGATTAATCAATAGCAGTAGAGTCGTAAACAAGAAGAGCTGAACAAGTCACTTCTTTCTTTGCTTTAAAAGAGAGAAGAGCGGCAACAGAAAAAGCTTTTGCCGAGAAGAAAGGGGAGCTAAAGGCATTAGACGATGTTGGAACAAAGTAATATCCGCTTTAAAAGGGGTTCTTTCACCTTAGGCTGTAGAGTTGCTGGTAGCGCCTACCGAGGAAGTGAGAAAAGTGCTAAATAAGGCGAGGTGAGACCAACCCGTCTGTGTTTACACATCTGTGGGGCAAAAGTCGCGATAAAAGGCACGCTATCAACCTCTAAACTTAGATGAGCCTACAAAGCGAGCACTAATGAGGAAAGCCCAGGTTCAAGCATTGACTTTAACCTCTAGCGTCCTCTAAGAATTCACTAGGGCAGCGATGGCACAATCCGATAAGGAACCCGGCCAAGGAGCGCGAGTAGGCTAGCGAGCACAATTCGTTGAGAGGTTTGTCTCCTGAGGCCAACTCGTATCGCCCCTGTTCTGCGATACAACTTGTACCGGAAAGGCTTCCGTGCTTGCTTCCATCATTTCCTTCTTCTCAACCACCTCTCTAACATCTAACATAGGGGCAATCCTCTTGACGATGTCCATAGCGGCCACACTGAAAAGAGATCATATTGAATCCTTCATACTCAACCTGGTGCAACGTATTGAAGACTAGCACCTTCGAGACCACTTTCTCATATGTCGTCCACCTCCAGGCCATGAAGCTTTTCTGCTTGCTAAGGCTGGATCAATATTACTTCATCAGGATCTCTAAAGTCGTCCAAAGCCGCAGTGGCTACTGCAAGAACTCAAATCTCAAATGACGTAAGAGAAGAAATAGAAGTGCGAGTGCTGAGTATCTTTTACTGCGCTAGTCTTTCTAAATTCCTTAGCCAAGAAGCCTTTGGCCTCTTGTTTTCTTCCCCATGACCCTTTGGGGCTATTACACTCCACCCAGATAGCAATTCCCTCACACCCTTTAGCCGAATCTCAAAGAAAGATAGAAGAGAAGAAGAGCTGCGACACCGATAGCAAATCGCCCAAGAGGCGAAAGCGTTGGAAGTCGCTCGAGAGATTCAGATAGGCGAGCCAAGCGAGTCGGCCAGCATCTCTATCCGAGAAGGAGGGAGTAGGTTGTTCAGGTCTCCCACTACCCACGTTGGAAGTAGCCGAGAGAATCCTACAGAAATTCAGGCTTAGATGAATGCCGGGTCTCTTTGCGAGCATGAAACCGCGCTTTACTGTGATTGAGAAGGTAAATGGCATAAGGCAAGGAAGGGGTTTAGCAAGATAGCATTCATTTCAAGAGATAGAGTTTCAGATGTTGAACTCTTTGCCAGAAGATCGTCTCTTTGAGATGCTAAGAATCGAGGGTAAAGAGTCGTTACGTAGACTTCATCTCAACATTCGTCTTTACTACTGATAGTGCTAGCACACTCCTTACGCCGACATTAGCAGTAGCGCTAGTAAGGCCGACAAATACAAAGAGGGACGGTGTGACAGCACTTTTTTAAGCCCAAAGGCTAGTTCAGTCACTTCCGGATGAATAAGAGTTCTCTTTCTCGATCGAAAGAACCAACATCGAATGGCCAAGCGTTGAAGAATCGAATCATCGCCCGAAAGAAAGGGCCAACATGTTGTATGTTGTGTTGGCTTTCTTTCCTAGATGGAGAGAATCCGCAAGTAGGAATAAGAGCATTGGGGAGGGGCTACAGTTGTCGACTCTGAACGAATGGTTTTATGTGAAGTGAAGAAGAGGTGGTAACTTTTCAAAAGAATAAGATCCCGTTACAGTTGGGAAAGCAAGTGCCATCCGAGAGTCTTCTTCGTCTTCTGCTTTCACTGACGAGCCTTGCTTTCTTAGTCCTTTCTTAAGATAAGACCTACCGCCTTTTATGAAGTCTGGGCTTTCTCCATCGTTTCCTTAGAAAGACTCGCCCTATCTCTAAAGGGGCTTCGGTCGTTACCCTTTTCTCTTTATCCTTTGAATTACTCCCTGAACTGCTCTGAGCAACGTGATACCTAGGTTCCGTCACTTTTTCTATTCGTTCCTTATTCTGTTGACCTTTCTGACTATATGGTATTGTGTTTTGCGGCTCCTCTTCCAGTTCGAGTGGGAGTTGGAACATAATGCTTGGCTGGCGAAGTCGTGGAATTCGGTAGGTACGTCGCTTTGGCTTCTTTAGTTATGTCTTTCTTTTCTGGTTGGCTAGTCAACGGCTGGCGCCTTTGAAAGTGAACGAGTACGAATGGAAAATCAGTATTTGCTTTCCCAACCCGGCAAAATGCCCCACTCCTCCACATTCATAACAGTTACCGGATCTCAGACGCATGATCAAAGGACCGAGCAAGGAGAGGTCTAAGCACCGCGAGGGCAATTACATAGCGCCTTACCTCTTCTGAATTCTATTGCTAGTCCCTTGCTCTTAAGCCAAGGAATAAAAACCTATCTTTATGCTACCACTGGTGAAACTAAAGCTATGTATTCTTTGAAGACGGAAGATGAATCAAAACCTTGCCTCTCCCCTGAAGCTATGAATGCAGGCTTCCGGGCATTTTCCCTAGGGCAGCAGAAGGTAAGCTCTAAGGGAGTGAGCGCTAGCTCCTTCTTTAGCCTATGCAAAGGAAGGGCCAAGAACTCGAACCTCGAACGTAGGCAAGAAAGTAATAGGCAGGCCTTGATTTTGATATTTCATAATGCGAGCTCTAGCTAGTCACGAACCGTTCTCTTTACAACTTCGTGGCCTAAGCCTTTGAAGAATCGTCCTCGGGCTTGCAATAATTGTACGAAGGAAGGCATCCTTTGTAGAGGCACCTTTTGGAAAGAAACTTTGCAAGCGGAGTCCTACCGATTTAATAGCTGCTAGTCTGAGACCGAGAATGAATAAGACTCTTCCAGTTCGTAGATTCATTTTGTCGGAGAACTTGCTTATTCAGTAAATACCTCTTTCGGATACTTTAAATGATCCCCTATCTCTGCTTGAAATCCTATAGTAGTCTACTAATTCTTCCCTTCCTCCATTTACCTTTGGGCGACCGGCTAATTGTATTGGTCTCATTATTCTCTATTCTTTGCTCCCTAGACTTTGGCAGTGAATACGGAACTAGACGGATCCTTTATATATGAGCTAATAAAAGCAGCCCCAGAGGACAGATAGATGGTAGAATTTCGTTGAGTGATATTCCTAACTACTGCTTAAATCGCTATCGGAGCCTAATGTAGACTGCCGCTAAGAAACTCTCTTTCGAAAGTGAGATCACCACCGGAGAGGGAAACTCATAAAAGCAGCCGTTCCCTTTCTAGATACTATATAGAAGATAAAAGCCTCGAATCCTTTGCTTTCTTTCATCTCTCTGATTGACATTAATTAAGCTTTTGCCTACCCCAGCTCGATCCATAGTTAGGGATAGATCGATCGGTTTCGGGTCAAATAGGAAGAACTAGAAGATTCCGCCTCTGGAAAGCGCCTACACCTAATGGCTTAAGCCGCTCTTCAAGAGCATTAATCCGGTCTGTATTCGAAACCATCTTGCTTTCCAAATAGCTGGCTTTAGCGATTTTTCCATTCCTTACAACATAGGACTTTCGGAAAGAGTCGTTGAAGAAGCCGAGACGAGAGAAAAAAAAGTCCCGCTTAAAGGAAAGACAAACTCTCTTTAGCGGTTCGTAGGTGCCTTATTTGATCTAGTAAGGAGAGCTAGAGTAGCATTCTCCTCAGTTACGGCCCCGGGTTCCATAAAAAGGAGTCAAATCTTAGCAGCAACAGACAAAGAGAGTGTGACCTGAGCAAGTCTGAATCGAGCCCTACCGAATGCTCTCTTTCTATCTATGCTACATCTCCCATGAACGAGGGAAAGACTTCCACGTACTAAATATTTACCAACACAAAGCGGGATGGATGAGAACAGGAATGAGCTCCATGGGGAGCTAGACCTGCGCTTAGGAGAAGAATTCACTCCTGGGTCGCAGGAGCGGCTTTTAGGGTCTTGTTCGGACATTCATTCCTTCTTCCTTTGCTTTGGCGGTATCTTCTAGTTGAGAGCGGTTTCTTTTAGGAGCGATCTTTTCAGGAAACTGGAAATCTCGTAAGAGAAGAATGAGACTTTTAGGCGTGATCAAGCGCTGTTCTCAAGCAAGAGTGTCCACGATCTTGTGTTGAAATAGCATCCGAGGTTGGGTTTGTGTTCCGTAAATTCTCATTCTTCCCCCTAGATCCCCTAGATCCCCTAGATCCCCTAGATCCCCTAGATCCCCTAGATCAAAGTCTAAAACCAAGGAAAATAGAAAGAACTCTCTTTTCGTTCTGAACTAGACTCTATCTATACTCTATATATATAGCTTGACTTCGTTAAGTTGATTTGGAGGGAATTGGATTGGATTTTCGAACTTCAAATCATGCCGGGGCGACAACAAGAACTCCGAATTTATTATGGGGATCCCACCCCCAGTGATCGAACCTTTATGGACTCCGCGCGAAATTCCTTTTCTTTTCCTTCCACCAGTAGCAGCGATAGCATTTCGTCAACTATATCGGACGCGGCAAGCGCTGCGCCCTCTGTAAATGACCTATTTACGCAAATTTGTACCCTTTATTAGAATTAGAGATATAAATGCACTTGCTCCTTTTAAGGAAGGGAAAGAAATCCCCCCCCCCGTAACTCTTCACTCTTCCTCTGCCGGACCTTGTTCGCACAGTGATTGGGGGCGACGGGATGTCCCCAGGCTTTCTCACGGATGCCTACTATGATGTCATGTTATGTGGACCTCGTAGTTGGGTATTCGAAGATCTGGAGAACTTGCTCAATTTGATAACCTATGCCCCCGGGGCATAGAGAAACTTTTTTTTATTCCTTTCCTTTTTGATCTCATTCGTATTCTGATCGAAGAAAGAGGTGAAGCTATCTTTTTGAAGGCGATAGTTCACAGTGCTTATTCTATAGATACTTGAAAGGCCAACTCATGTTTCCACTCTATTTTCATTACGAAGATGTATCACGTCAGGATCCGTTGCTCAAACTGAATCACGCCAACGTTATGGAAGTTCCTGGATTGTGTAAAATAAGAGTAGTACCAAAGGCAGCACCTTCTATCAAAAATGGAAAATTGGCTATGGAGATTCCGTGCGGTCAGAAATTCATACAGACAGAAAGGTCTTCGACAGGAAAGTCATTTCGATCCAATCCAGGGTCAAATAAAGAGAAAAAACGAAAAAAAGGATATGTCAGTGACCTAGCGCGACAAAGCACTCTCCGAGGGCATGGAATGTCTAATTTTTTAGTCAGAATCTCCACAGTAATGTCTCTATTAGATTCTCCGGTCGAAATACGGGAAAACTCTATTCAATTCTCGATGGAAACGGAGTTTTGCGAATTCTCCCCAGAACTGGAAGATCATTTCGAGATCTTCGAACATATTCGAGGGTTCAATGTGACTATTGTCACTTCGTCCAACACACAAGATGAGACTTTACCACCGTGGAGCGGCTTTTTGCAAAAAGATGAGGGTTTTAACATTAGAGATCGAATTCGATGTCGGAGAAGCGAAATATACGAGATCACAAACGTAGATTGCTCGCGGCTAAATATGAATTGAGACGAAAGCTTTATAAAGCCTTTTGTAAAGATCCCAATCTTCCTAGTGATATGCGGGACAAACATCGTTATAAGTTGTCCAAGTTGCCAAGAAATAGTTCCTTTGCACGAGTAAGAAACCGATGTATTTCCACGGGTCGCCCTCGTTCCGTATATAAGTTCTTTAGAATTTCTCGTATCGTTTTTCGTGGATTAGCATCTCGAGGTCCTTTGATGGGCATAAAGAAATCGTCTTGGTAGCAACCACCAAGAAAAGGGTTAGCGTAGCAGTTAGTCTACAAGCAAGGTAAGTAGGTCCATTACCGGCCGGCTTCGGACCGAAAAGACCTAACTACGTAATCCCCTGATCTCGGATCGGAGATGCTAACAGGTCGGGAATCGAAGTGGGGGACCTCTCGATAGCCTGTGTCTATCTCCTGTCAAATATGCTCCCCAGCTTTAGTTTAAATAAATAATAACGAGCGCTCGGGTAGTACTCTTGGAAAGAGAGAATATCACCGCGTGAACATAACATGTTGTTACGAATGTAACTCCCTCCCGAGGTATCGACCACTATTCTAAATAGAGTAAGGCGGAGAACTCTTGTTCATTGAAGCGCCGGAGTGCGGAGGTTGTTCCCATCATTGAAGTCAGAGTGTGGGACTGAGCCTTCCGAATGAGAAAGAAAAAAGTGCAACGTTTCCGTTGGAAAAACCAACGCAAATACAAATATCATATTGACTTTCTCTCGCCCTACTTCTAAAGATAGATAGAAAAGGTTGGAGAGAGTGACTTTATGAAATTATCTCCTTTTCGAATTCTTTCTCCCGCACACCGAAGCCCTCTTTCACCGAGGAGGAAAGAATAATCTTCCAAGGCGAGCAGAGACCTAAACCTACTACCCTTTCTCAAACCTTCCCCTTTTCAACATAACATAATAAGGTAAGCTTGGGTTCCAAAGCCCCTTTATGTTGAGATAGAATGTTGAGATAGAGCAATCCTTACTCGACAGCTCAAAGCGGACCAGTACAAAAAAACCATGTGATCTGTCCTAGTTTACGTACCCCAAAGCACTATTTAGCCCTTCCGACTCGTCTTTATTAACTGGCTTATACCTAGCAACATGATGGACCTTGGCAGCTCGATCAAAGCACTCGACAGCAGCTCCGTCCTTGCTTAGGAAAAAGAGGTTTGGCCGAACCACTATCTCTTGATAGATCTGATCAGACGCTTGCTTTTGCCAAGTCAAGAAAGTCCCCTTTACAGCTCGCTCTGTAAGTTCACTAGCAAGACACCAGTACTGGTCAAATTGGTTTCTTTTTTTTGCTTCCAAGGGGGGTTCAAACCCAATACAATCAATCAAAAGTAACCACTCTACGGCCTACAGAGCCACCAACATAATCAAAAAGCAATCTATAGTAAACTTCCGATGGCGGTGATGTAAACTCTTGCATACCAAACGGAATATCATGTCCCATATGGGCTATGGGCTAGACCATCTGCAACCTGATTAGATTCCCGAAAATGTTGATGGACAATACACTCCTGAAAATACGGCATAAGAGCCCGGCATGCCGGAACTAACACAGCGTAAGGATGGTGCCAAAACCAACATTAGCTGTAAACCCGTAAATCCATTGACCAATACTATCACGTAGAACCCCTCCTGCAGCAAGATAACCCGCACTCCCATCAACATGAATTTTGAGAAAACCCGGATACCACCTAACTAGGCGCCAATGATAGTTTCTACCAGGATATTGCAAGCTCCTAAACTTGCTCCAAGCGTCATCTTCAAACATAGCAAACTCGCGTAGCCACCTGCTAGCAAGTCTCGGTTGGAAACTCCGCCCTTGGAAGGTAGGTACGTCGGTTCCTCCAAATCCACAATTTCCAGCAAGTAATCGCAAAAAGGATAGCCCAAGGTGGACTTACCGAATCAACCTTCTTAGTCTGAACCAAATTCCTCTAAATCTAGCTCAAAAAAATGCTCTTCTGTTAAACCAGGATGACCCGACCCCTTCGACGCTTCTTTCGCTCTATACCCCTTCGGAGGTGGAAGAAAGGGTACGGACAATTTCTCTTTCTATATAGTAGGGCCCCAGAATGCCAAAAAGCAAGAGTGGTCACGAGAAAAAAAGAAATGACTCTAAGGAACCAACGATTCTCTCTTCTTAAACAACCTATATCCTCCACACTTAATCAGCATTTGATAGATTATCCAACCCCGAGCAATCTTAGTTATTGGTGGGGGTTCGGTTCGTTAGCTGGTATTTGTTTAGTCATTCAGATAGTGACTGGCGTTTTTTTAGCTATGCATTACACACCTCATGTGGATCTAGCTTTCAACAGCGTAGAACACATTATGAGAGATGTTTCGGGGGGCTGGTTGCTCCGTTATATGCATGCTAATGGGGCAAGTATGTTTTTCATTGTGGTTCACCTTCATATTTTTCGTGGTCTATATCATGCGAGTTATAGCAGTCCTAGGGAATTTGTTCGGTGTCTCGGAGTTGTAATCTTCCTATTAATGATTGTGACAGCTTTTATAGGATATGTACTACCTTGGGGTCAGATGAGTTTTTGGGGAGCTACAGTAATTACAAGCTTAGCTAGCGCCATACCTGTAGTAGGAGATACCATAGTAACCTGGCTTTGGGGTGGGTTCTCCGTGGACAATGCCACCTTAAATCGTTTTTTTAGTCTTCATCATTTACTCCCCTTTATTTTAGTAGGCGCCAGTCTTCTTCATCTGGCCGCATTGCATCAATATGGATCAAATAATCCATTGGGTGTACATTCTGAGATGGATAAAATAGCTTTTTACCCTTATTTTTATGTAAAGGATCTAGTAGGTTGGGTAGCTTTTGCTATCTTTTTTTCCATTTGGATTTTTTATGCTCCTAATGTTTTGGGGCATCCCGACAATTATATACCTGCTAATCCGATGTCCACCCCGCCTCATATTGTGCCGGAATGGTATTTCCTACCGATCCATGCCATTCTTCGTAGTATACCTGACAAATCGGGGGGTGTAGCCGCAATAGCACCAGTTTTTATATGTCTGTTGGCTTTACCGTTTTTTAAAAATATGTATGTACGTAGTTCAAGTTTTCGCCCGATTCACCAAGGAATATTTTGGTTACTTTTGGCGGATCGCTTACTACTAGGTTGGATCGGGTGTCAACCTGTGGAGGCACCATTTGTTACTATTGGACAAATTTCTCCTTTTCTTTTCTTTTGCTTTTTTGCCATAACGCCCATTATGGGACGAGTTGGAAAAGGAATTCCTAATTCTTACACGGATAATGAAATTCAAAAAAGAAAAGAAAATAGGAAATCAGTGTGAAAAATGAGAATTCTGACACCAATCATTTACGAGTGAGGATGACACCAACGGAAAAAGGGAAAAATGCACATAACAACATTTTAGGCCAAGCAAAAACCTTAAGATTCAGTAGTGGGGAAACCCGATCCATATCCTAATATGCTCTATTCTTCCTTTTGTAGCCCCGGTACATCTCATTGTCTGGTATTCCGTATGTCTCCTTGTCTCTTGGAAAAGCTTCCAATCATATCCCCTCCACATCATATAGGTCATCTCCGCAATTAGGAATACCCTTGGGCCAAGAACCGATATTCTCTAATCCTCATAAAAGAAAAGAAGTCGAGTTTGTTCACAAGGTTGGGTCGTGATATATAGTTTGTGTGCCGGTAAAGAAAGCACTTGGCTTTTTAGAGCCCTATCACGTAAGGGAGAAGAGGGAGAAGACAGACTTCATGTGTGAAGCATACAGGGAACTTCTCTCCTCTCTTACTCGAGCCTCTATAGTATAGTCAATAAAGCAATGCGGGTCAAGCTGTCCAACTCTTGTTTGCAGACCTTTACACCGATAAAAGCTTATCTCTCAACCTGTTCCGGATGTGCCTCCGCGCTGAAAGGGGCACTCATTCCCGGGTCACTGAAAGTGAGCTAAGCAGCAAGAATGTCATTGACAAACCTAAGCTGCGTAGCAGAAATGCTAGTCCCGAAAAGGGTAGCTGACTCAACTAACTGCTAGTCTGACCTAGTCCCGGTGGTCGAGCTCGAACCTTCGCTTGCCCTTGTTGGGACTTAGTGAAGAGTTAGCCTAGAAAGGCTTTTAAAGCAAGTCAAGCATGGAAATCCCAGCGGATTAATCAATAGCAGTAGAGTCGTAAACAAGAAGAGCTGAACAAGTCACTTCTTTCTTTGCTTTAAAAGAGAGAAGAGCGGCAACAGAAAAAGCTTTTGCCGAGAAGAAAGGGGAGCTAAAGGCATTAGACGATGTTGGAACAAAGTAATATCCGCTTTAAAAGGGGTTCTTTCACCTTAGGCTGTAGAGTTGCTGGTAGCGCCTACCGAGGAAGTGAGAAAAGTGCTAAATAAGGCGAGGTGAGACCAACCCGTCTGTGTTTACACATCTGTGGGGCAAAAGTCGCGATAAAAGGCACGCTATCAACCTCTAAACTTAGATGAGCCTACAAAGCGAGCACTAATGAGGAAAGCCCAGGTTCAAGCATTGACTTTAACCTCTAGCGTCCTCTAAGAATTCACTAGGGCAGCGATGGCACAATCCGATAAGGAACCCGGCCAAGGAGCGCGAGTAGGCTAGCGAGCACAATTCGTTGAGAGGTTTGTCTCCTGAGGCCAACTCGTATCGCCCCTGTTCTGCGATACAACTTGTACCGGAAAGGCTTCCGTGCTTGCTTCCATCATTTCCTTCTTCTCAACCACCTCTCTAACATCTAACATAGGGGCAATCCTCTTGACGATGTCCATAGCGGCCACACTGAAAAGAGATCATATTGAATCCTTCATACTCAACCTGGTGCAACGTATTGAAGACTAGCACCTTCGAGACCACTTTCTCATATGTCGTCCACCTCCAGGCCATGAAGCTTTTCTGCTTGCTAAGGCTGGATCAATATTACTTCATCAGGATCTCTAAAGTCGTCCAAAGCCGCAGTGGCTACTGCAAGAACTCAAATCTCAAATGACGT